TTTCATTGCTTTATGGTCTGATGATATACATGGGATAATTTCAGTTCCTTTGCATTCACTTACGCATATTCTGTGAGCTAGTATGTGGTCTGTTCTGGAGAATGTTCCACATGCAGCTGAGAAGAATGTATTCTGATGTGGGGAGGGGACACACTGTAGACATCTACTAAGTCCATTTGTGCAAAAGTTTGGTTCAATTCTGATATTTCATTGTTGATTTTTTTTATCTAGTTGATCTGTCTTTTTATGATAATGGGGTGTTGAGCTCCCCCAATACAATTAGTGCTTATTTGATTTTTTATGCCTGTGAATATTTTTTAATATAGTTGGGTACACTGGTATTTGTTGTATGTATATTTATGATTGTTATCTCTTCCTTTTGGATTGTTCCCTTTGCAAGGATGTAGTGACTGTCTTTGTTGTGCTTAATCAGTCTTGGCTTGAAATTCACTTTGTCTGCAAATAGAATAGCTACCCCTGCTGTTTTCTGGGTTCCTGTTGCATGGACTATTGTTTTCCATCTTTGATTTTCAGTGTATGACTTTCTTTTTGAATTAAATGTGTTTCCTGTGTGCATCATATTATTGGATCTTGCTTCTTGATCCACTCTGTGTCTTTTGATTGGTGCCTTGAGACCATTAACATTGATGGTTATAACTGATATGTATTGACTTATCCTTGTCATGTTATTTTCCTATTATTGGCTCCCCCTCTTTTATTTTTCATCTCCTTCTCTTTAATTGTTTGCCTTGCTTGGTGTATTCCTTCTCTTGGGGTTCATGGAGTTGTAGTCCTTGTTATCTCTTTCTAGAATGCCATTCAAAACATTTTGAAGTGCTGGTTTGGTGGTCATAAATTTCTTAGATTTTCTTTTTCATGGAAGTGTCATGTTTCTCCATCAGTTTTGAAAGATAGTTTTTCAAGGTATATCAATCTGAACTGAAGGTTGTTTTTCTTTATAACTTGAAATACTTCAGTCCAAGCTCTCCTTGACTTACAGGTTTGTGCTGAGAAGTCAGCTGTGATTCTGATGGGCTTTCCTTTGTAGGAGATTTGTTTCTTTTTCCTGACAGCTTTTAAGATTCTGTTCTTGTGTTGAATTTCTGAAATCTTGACTATGATATGCTTGGCTATAGATTTTTTTTGATTGTAGCTAATTGGAGTTCTGTATGTTTCACTTTGCCGTATGTCAGATTCTTTTTCTGTACCAGGCAAGTTTTTTGTCATGATGTCTGTGAAGTTTTTTTAAATGTCATTTGTGCTAACTCCTACTTTTTCCTTGACTGCAATCAATCATAAGTTATTCTTCTTTGTCTCATCTAACAGCTGCTGTATTGATTTCTCATGGTTCCTTGCTATTTTTAAGAAACCTTTCTTTCCATGATTGCTCACTGCAAGTCTGTCTTGTATATCTGAGATCCTGGCTCACCTTGGCTTAATCTGCTGCGGATACTTTCAATGGAATTTTTATTCTCCTAGGTATCTGCTTGAATCTGCTTTATGGGTTCCATTTCTTTCCTGTGCTGAGCATTTATGACTTCCATAATTTTCTTAAGCTCCTCCATTTTTTGTCTGTATCTGCTCTAGAATCTCTAAGCATGGTTTTCATTGTGGACACCATCTCTGCAGTTCTCTGAGAAGTTTTTTGTGATTTGATTTTTTCTAGAGCTTCATTCAATTGCTTTGTTGTTACCACTTCAGAGAGGCCAGATGGGTGGCTTTCAGATTGTCCCACCTCAGTGACCCCTGGGTTTGCCTTCGGTGAACTGTATGTCTGAGGCTGCATCTTGTTTAAGTGTTTTCTTATTTTCTTTCTTTTTTAAAGTTTAATTCCTAGGCTGATGATTATAAATTACCTCTTGTGGGTTGCTTTATTGCTAGTATTTAGAACCTTTAGGAAGTGACTACTTCTCTGAGGTATCTTCCAGGTTTAGCTGGTTTTGGGTTTTGAATCTCTGCAAGATCCTATCTCTTCAATTTGTTGTGGTTGAGAAGTTGTTGCTTGTTTGGCTCAGTCCGTGGTTCTTCTGCACTGTGCCACACTACTTTCTGTGACCCTTAGTCAATCTCAGTCTTGGAATACTGGAAGAACAGCTGTTGAGAACAGTTATGTCACTTTTGGCTATAGTACTACCATCAGCAATGACAGTGGTATTAAACAAAGCCTAGAAAATGACAAACAGAGCTACTCATTAATTTGCCACCTTCAACCATATGAACTAAATTTATGGCTATATAACAAAATCTAAAACAAATTAGAAAATTGTATGCTGTGTATATGGCTTTCATATATCAATTTTCCCCTCAGTGTTTAAATTTTCAAATGGGTTAGGGAGAATAATAGAGAAGTGGAAGAATAGGAAGAGATTAGAGGTAAGGCTGGAGGACAAAGGGGGATCACACTAACTTTGAGAAACTTGCGCAGAAGATTATAGTGAAAGAGAGAATGTAGAGATAAAAAGAAAAACAGACCAGAACCACAATCAAAAAGAGGCTAGAAACCATGTTCACACTCATATAAAAACAAAATCAAACAATGAAGGAGAAAAATACAAAAACAGAAAAATAAAAATGAACACAAAACCATCACCACAACAACACAATAAAAAGTCCACTTTCAGGTTTTTTTTTTTTTTTTTTTTTTTTTTAACAGAAGATTGTATTTATTGCGGGGAAAGAAAGTTTCCCAAATGGCTTGCCGACCACTTCCAGATTTGTCTCTGCTGTCACTGTCAGGCAGTGTGTGAAAAGAGAGAGTCCTGGTCCTTGTTGATTTATCCCAGCCTGCCAGCAGTAGCTTTTTTGTATGGTAGTGGATAGTCTCAGCGAGCTTGCACCTTCTGGCCAAGAGCAGACTCATTTGGCCTGCAGACCTCAGTGAACCTTCTGTGGGCCTGAGCCCAGCTGGGAGTCACTAGATGGAGCCAGCAGCTGCTCTGAGTTCTGAGGGTCTATTGGAAATTGGCTTCTAGCCAATTTCTCTCTAGTGAGGGATGACTGAGCCCTCAGCACTCACTGCCAGCTAGTGTAGTCTTTCATGTTTCCTGTTCCTGTCCAGTGCTGTGTCTCTCTGTGGAGGCCTCTGGGGTCGCCAGCAGTCACTGTGTGTCCACAGGTTTGAATCACTGCTCTTGTGCAATGAGTCCCATCTCAGGGAGAAAGCTCTGCTGGCTATCTCCTTCTTCTACATTGACGTTTCTCTCTTCTCTCTCTCTGTAGGCTTAAATTCAAGCTTTAGGTCCTTCCTGGACCCACTTTCCTCCTCCTTGTCTTCCTCACATTGCTATATTCCAGCATATGGACTGCAGCTCTCAGAGAGGCTTTTTCTCTGTTGTTTACCACTCCATCTTGGTGCTCTGTCCTAATTCCCTGGTGTGATAGTTGTGTGGACATGATTCACAAGTACTTAATACATTGGTTCAGCCCAGTTCTGGGTATACCTGAATGATGTACTCACCAGAAAAGGAAAGATTGTCTTTTTGAAGAGTTGTGTTCTTTCCTTTGTGAACCTGGTAAATATGACTTCTAGTACTTTGTGCTTGTTTGAATAGCCTCCCACTTTACCCCTCTTCTCAGTTGCCGTGTGTGTGTGTGTGTGTGTGTGTGTGTGTGTGTGTGTGTGTGTTTCTGTGGATTGCACCCAGATTATTACACTTAATAGACTCTTACTCCACCACTGAGCTACACGCCCAATCCACCCTTTAAATGTTTATAGTGTACATTGCAGGTAACCTGACTTCTTAGAATTGTGTGCAAATACAGAGCTGGCTGACCTGTATTCCCAGTACTGAGGAGGCTGACGTGGAGAATTGTTTGTTTGTTTTTTTGGCTATAATTTTATTTACTAATCTGCCTGTTACTTTTGTTGTTGTAGATGAGTGATAATGGTTTTCTCAACATTTTGGAATACATTTGCTTGAAAAACGCAGCATAAGCAAAAACTAAAGTGAGGCAATAAATTTTTCTTTATCTTCAAAAGTTGCAGAAACCCAATGGAAATATTTGGATTTATAAGAGACTGTGATTTTATATTATACTCTTGTTGATAATTGGGAATGCATGTTAAAATGCCATTGTTTATATTGTCTCACTGCAAATATGTTAGTTTCATTCATTGTATGTGTGGCCAAATGCAGTCCTTGCATGTTAACAAGCTGATGAGTTTATTAGACACCAACATAATGGGAACTTCCTATGTTTGGTTTTGGTGAACTCTTAAAAAATGTGTAACATTTGCTTTTGTGTTGATTTTGTTTCTACTAAATGCATTCAGTTCTGCATTATTTTCACTAAAGGAAAATAAACATTAAACTCTAGAGTTGTTAGACTTAATATGGACATCTCTAATATTCTGTTACAGTTGACTGTTCTAAAATTTGTAAGCGTAAATAGCAAAGATTTCCTACGCGTGTATAGTGATTGAATTTTATTAATTTCTCATTAGTGGAATAGTCAGGAATTAAATATCCTTTTTCTTCTTTCCTTAAAATTTTATCTCTTCTCACCTCTCAAGTTAAATTTATTGAAAGGCTTACATAGGAATTATGAAGTATTTTGTGTTGCTCAGTGCTTATATGATTAGTAGTATGCTATCTTGACTCAGAAATCAAGATTTAGCTATTTTAAAGCACAAACTGAGTTAAATAATTGAGTCACTTAATATGCATTAAAGGCATTGAAGTTGGATTTCATTATGTGTTTTAACAGGTTCCTGTTTATCGTAAGTTATGCTGCATGTTATTCCTTAAAATTTTAGACTTAATTTCATTAATAGTGTCATTATTGGAACATGTGTATATTATATAGGTGTGTGTGTATATAGATATATACAAGTCTCAAACCATACAGAATTGCTTTGATACAGTTTCAAATCATAGGATGAATAACAGTGGTTAAGGAAAAATAGTGCTAAAAATTGAATAGTAATCAGTACAGTGTTTTTATATTCTCCAGTCATTTTTATCTCTGTTTTTGTTAAACCAAATTTTTTTGAATTTTAGGGAGAAAAAAATAGTGGCTTTGATGTTCTCTACCATAACATGAAACATGGACAGATATCAACAAAAGAACTTGCGGATTTTGTAAGAGAAAGGTATGTAATTTTTATAAGTAATTTATTTAACAACTTACTATTAAAATCTTAGAATATAAGTAAATTGAAAAATTTTAGTTGGATTTGGAATAAACAAAGCATTTTTAAAAGGCATTCTATAATTGTATATTAAAATAGTTTTTTAAAATCATTTGTGCACATGAAGACTGTATAATGGCTCAAAATGATATTGTCAAATGCTGGCTTAGAAATTACTGATTGACAATTATTTACCTATTTTTCATTGCATGTGTTAGCAGAGGGATGCAGAAAAATATTGAGAAATTTTGTAGGATAAAATATTACCATTTCTTTAAACAAACATGTTAAAATAATTTGAAAAAATTGTTTTCTGAGCTGGATATGGTGGTACATGCCTGTAATCCTAGCACTGAGGAAGGCTGAGGCAGGAAAGTTGAAGTCCTACCTGGGTAATTTAGCAAGATCTTGTCTCAAAATGACAAAATTAAAAGGGCTCTGTTTATACCAATCATAAGAAATCCAGGACTCTTTTTTTCCCCTTAATCTAGGGCTTATCTATTCATTCAATAAGGACATCTTGGATGCCCCCAGGTCTTGGCCTGGTATGAGTATTTGTGTGCATTATGACTAAACTTGGTATGAGTATTTGTGTGCTTTATGAATAAACCTGGTATGAGTATTTGTGTGCAGTTTATTGTGTGGTCATAAATTTTGAACTCTTTGAGGGTAAATAAGGAGTACAATTGTGAAATCATATGGAAAGGGTGTTTAGTAAGAAACCAGAAAGCTGCCCTCCAAAAATAGTCTTAGTTGTTTTTAAGAGGTTTGTAGTTTTTTGTTTACACTTACGTCTACCACCCATTTTGAGTTAATTTTTGCACATGAAAATTTGTGTTTTGGTTTATTGGGGGGTAGTGGGAATTAAACTCAGGACCTTGAGCTTGCTAGGAAGGTGCTTGTGCCACTGGGCTTATATCCCAGCCCTATTTTGAGTTAATTTTTGTGAAGACTGAGTTGTTTTGTATGTGAATGTTTAGTTGTTCCAGGACCATTTGTTGAGAAGACTGTCAAAATACTGTATCTATGGGGGCCTATTTCAGGGCTTTCTACTCTGCTCCATGACCAACTTGTGTATTTTTTGCCAGTATCATACTGTCTTGATTTACTGTTGGTTTATAGTAGTCCTGTGAGTTCTGCAACTTTGTTCTTCAGTGTTATGTCCTTCATTATTATGTTGCCCTGTTTTGAATCTTTTGTTGTTTTTAGTTTTTTGCTATTACAGGTAATAATTGCCTTGAATATTCTTGCATATATGTCTTGGTCCACATATATATACATTTATTTTGGATATATACCCTGGAGCAGAATTGTGAGGTCATAGGTTATGCATATCTTTAACTCTACTGAATGATATTAAAGACTTTTTATCAGCAAGTTCTAGTTGTTTCATGACCATATCAACATTTGATATCATTAGTCTTTTAATTTTCATCACTCTGATAGTAGTATCTCATTGGGATAGCAATTTTAATTTCTCTGATCTGTAGCTTCTCTGATGTTCAAGCAAGAGAACAGTGATGGCAGGTAAGGCAAAGATAGCTGACTGAGCTCTAATTATCAAAGTTGATTATTTTCCAAGGAGATCTTATTTTAAGGGAAAGGGAACAGATAGATAGATAGATAGATAGATAGATGGACACATGTTATCTGTAAATTGTTTCAGATTTTCTGTGTGTACAGTCATATATGAAAGATTATTTTCCAATTCTTGAGAGCTTGTTTAGAGATTGTAGCAGGGGAGCACAGCTACTTGTATATCTTTGACTGAGGAAATGGTCCTCCTATGTTGGGGGTGGTCATCCTCTTCCATCAGAGCCCACAGCTTCTGGAGAGACACATGTGAAGTGGTGAGGGAGGAAAGGGACACCTGTCTGGCCAAGCAGATCAACTGATTCAACCTTGGCAATCAGTGGGGTAACAGATGTCTCAGCCAGATTGACCTCCCATCCATTTTTCCCCAATATTTGTATTTTTTATTTCTGACCCTTCCCCTCACCCTTCTCCTCTTCCTCCTTCTCTTTCTCTGCCTTCTCTTTGTCCTCCTCTTCTTCTCTCTTCTTACTTCTCTTCCTCCTCCTCCTCCTCTTTCTCTGCCTCTTTCTTTTATTGCACTGGTTAATACCTCTAGGATAATCCTGATTACAAGTAATGATGTTGGCATCCTTGTCTTGTTTCCAGTCTCATATACTTTAGGCTCTGTGGTTCAAACAGTCTCTGTTGTACCTATTTAGGCCTGCTGCTTTAGTTAAACAACCAGTAAATGAGTAAATGAACATGGATGTATTTCAACAAAAGGGTATATTAAAAACAAGTAGTGGGCTAAATTTGGCCAATGGGGCTGTAATTTGCTAGATTCTGTGTTAATTTAGTATTTGTTCTATTCCTTTACCTATTTTATATCATTTTTCTCCCCTTTCTTTCCTTCTTTTGGCTTATTAAAAAAAACTTTCTTCTGTCAGCTTAGAACATTCACTGTACTATTCTTCTAGTGTTCATCCTAGATACTACAACATAACTTACTTTACATTTTAATGTCTAATGATAACTGGTACTTTGACTCCTTTCCTGAAAATGTACAGACCTTAAAATATTACCACCTCTTGACTTACATGCCATGACTGTTTAACTTTTTACCATGAAAATAAACTTTTCCATTTTTTAAAAGTTATTTTAAGATACACATTTGTGTACCTTTTTGTTGTATATGTTTATGAACATTTCAAACAGAAGTAGAGAATATATTATTAACTAGTAAATAATGAACTGTAATACCAGCTTCAGCATTTTTAGTGTTTTACTAGGTATGTGTTTTTTTTGTTTTTTTTTCTGGTACCGGGAATCAAACTCATGACCTTGCGCTTGCCAGGCAGGTGCTGTGCTGCTGAGCTAAATCCCCAGCCCCTACTAAGTATGTTTTTGAAATATCTAAGGACTCAAATAATCATATTATTATTTATTAAACAAAATTAATAATTTAAAAATATTTTCTAATAACTGATCCAGTTAATTTGTTCATCATGTAATTTATTTTACGTTCCTGGTATTTTTATATAGCCATTAGTAAGGTTTATTAAAATTACTTTTTCTCTATCTTGGGTAATTTCTTTTTAAAACATCTTTTAAATTTCTAGTTCATGTGCATTTGCTGGTGATAAACTCTCAATTTTTTTTTTTTTTTTTTTGTCTTTTTGAGACAGGGTCTCGCTATGCAGTTCAGGCTGGCTTTGAGCTCATTTTGTAGTCCAGGCTGACCTTGAACTCGAAATAATAATCCTGCCTCAGCCTCCCGAGTGCTGGGATTACAGGCGTGCGCCACTATGCCCAGCTAAATTCTCAATTTTTGTTCGTCTAATCATATCTTTAATTAATATTCATTTAAAGTATTTTTATTAAGCACAATATCAAACATCTACAACTTGTACAAAAGTTATGATCTTAATATAACTCACTTTTATGTAACAACTTCAGCAGTTATCAGGTCACTCATTCCATCTGGTCTTTAACATTATTGTTATAAAGCTAGTATCAGTTCAGGAAAATTTCACTGCATCCATTAATATTTTGGATTATCTGTAGAAGATAAAGGCATTTAAAAAAATAACTGCAGTGTGTGTTGTCCCAGCTAATGATGGTACAGTATTAATTTCTTAATATTACCAAGTACAATCAGTGCTCATTCTCCCTCAGTTGCATGTGTAGACACACACGTAATTGATTTATTCCAATCAGAATCTTAGCAAGATCCCTACATTACAACTGCCTGATATGTTTTTTTGAATCTCTTGGTCTCCTCTCTTCTCTTACTTTTCTTTTTGTTGTTAAATAAACAAGATTATTTGTTTTACCTAAGGTTCCAAGTCCTGGAATATGCTAATTGCACATCTATGGTTTTACTTAACATTTTCCTTTACCCCTGTATTTAAATTATTTAAATCTAGCCATTTGATCAAACTTCCTTCAGTGTTTTGAAAATAATATTTCATAGATGTGCATCATGTAATATCCAATTATCTCTTTGTGATAGTGGCTGTTGGTGATCATCGCAAAGATTATTTCCTTTGGAATTGCTTTCCTTTATATTTTCACTGGGTATTGAATTCTGATTGGTAGATTATTTAAACAATTATTTGAAAATCACTCCATTACTATTGATGTTACCAATCAGTCTCACTGTTGCTCCTCTGAAAGTCACATTTGTTAGTTGAAGACTTTGTGGTGCAGGAGTCAAGGCTAAGGGCCTCATGCATGCTAAGCACTGTCCCTAGCACTGTAGATTTCTTTTTATTTATCTTTTTAAAGTTTGTTGAGCTACCTGTATCTATGATTTGATATCTTTTGTCAGTTTTAGGAAATTCTCCATCATATTTCTTCTGACCCATGCTTTGTCTTTATTCACATGTTATACTTTATTGCTTTGCTCTTTATATCTCTTCTTTGTTTCCCATTCTTTGGTCTCGGACCTTTAATCTGAGATAGATTCTTTTCTTTTCTTTTTCTTTTTTTTTTTTGTCTTTTTGAGACGGGGTTTCACTGTGCAGTTCAGGCTGGCCTTGAGCTCACTTTGTAGCCCAGGCTGGTCTTGAACTCACAACGATCCTCCTGCCTCAGCCTCCCAAGGTCTGGTATTACAGGTGTGGGCCACCATGCCTGGCAAGATAGAGTTTTTTCATCTATCTTGCAGTTAACTAATTCTCCTTATAGTGTATCGAATTTGTCATTGAGATGTTAATTTTGATTATTGTATTCTTCAGAACTTCAGTTTACATTTCTTTGAAATTTGGGATGCTTTTCTCCATTTTTTTAAGTAATTACCAGTTCTCTGCTGAAATTCTTGATCTGATTTATCATGGTACATAAACTCAAGTATTTAGTACATAGAATATAAACACAGTATTTAACATAGTACATAAACTCAAAAAGGCTAAGTCTTAATATTTTAATATCTTAGTATTTGGAAT